ATATATATTTTTTTTCTGACACAAGTTCGTGCGTGGATGATGAATAAATAACAGGGAATTCAACCTCATCGTAATAACTAATTATATTGTAGTGATACAAATCAGTATACTCTGGTTTCTTATTCTATATTATATTAATATTTTTAAATATCATAAGCCATCTCAGTTGGCCCCGCTGTGAATAGTATAATATCAAATTATCACAATTTTGATAATTTGTTATATCAAAATTGATAATTTGTTATATCAAATTAATAATATGTTATACCAAATTGATAATTGGTTGTATTAAATTGATAATTTGTTATATCAAATTAATAAATATATTTATTTTCGACAGGCGTATGAATTTTTGAGTTCAGGTAGCGGGCTTATTGTTATAATAATAAAGGAAGAAGTTCTCTTGGTATTTAAAGTCGTGCGTGTACGAGAAAATTTATCAACAAGGGTGGAGACAATCTAACGAGTAGTTTTTACGTGTATTTGTTTATATGAAGATTAATCTTCAGTATAACTGTTCATGCTTTATATATGTAGAGTTCTTATTCTAATTATGCGCTTTTCTTTTGTAGATTGTATATTAATTGAATGAACTGATGCCATTGAATATTATTTGAATGAACTGATGCATTTGTATATTATTTCAATGAACTGATGCCATTTGTGGTGAAAACCATTTGAGGACATTTGTCTTGTGTTTTATTAATTGTGAAGATGGTAACTACACCTGACAGTCTCAATAATTGTGTTTTCTTTATTAATACAGAAATAATTTCACTGCAAATATTTGAGACATACGTATTTTTTTTAGTGGTTGGTATTAGGGTGTCGTCAGAAAATAAGGAGCCTAGAGTACATAAATAATTTATTTCGGTTGAACAGAGTGAATTAAGAAAATAATCTGTTATAACAAATTACATAAAAGTAAATTGGCATGGCCCTAAAAGGCAGCTGTTTGTTGACATTTTACATCATTTGGTTCCCCTTTTGTCAATTCAGCTTAAACCCGACTGACAATCTCATCGGGATTGCAAACGTCTTTTGGAATTTCTACCTAAGATTGATTAACTGATGCAGAAATATGTCTCTGTTTTATGTAGTAGTTTCCAGTCCCGCATAATCCTCTCAGTAATTCATGACAATAATACACTTGGAGATAATGAAAGTTCAATACGGCACTGTCTATTGTAACTTCTTTCCATTCATTAATTCCCTTGATGACTGTATTCATTCCTTCGGCAATGTTGTTTGTCATTCCAGAGTATGAATCGTACACATTCACGATTCTTAAACCCAAGGTACACTTGGTTCGAGTAACTCATCTATAAGGTCATCATTAAAGTAGTCTTCAAAGGGTTTACTCATTTTTGGGAAAGTATTTCGTACAAACTTTCAAACGTTGTTAGATTGTCTGTATTAAAGCTTTAACATATGCTGGATAAATTGATAATTATGTCATTTGTTCACAAAAATTGGTAAACTTGTTAGCATTCATATCCAAAAAAACATTACCAGTACTTTATGTTAACGTCATTGTAGCAATGCATGATTGTTTTCAAAATATAATGAACTCTATGGTCTTCCATAGCTTGTTAAGAGAAGCGGGAAATGGCAAGTCTTCTTTAGCTGCTTTGATGCAGTCAAGGTGGCACATGTTGTAATATGCTTTCATTATAAAAGACTCCATTCCTGCCTCAAGCTGATCTTCTGGCACTTTACTCCGATCCTGCAACAAACTTCTTATGGTAATCATTAATACCTTGCACGATCCTTCAATGTATAATATATTTATGCCAACACAAAAGTCAGAATCTTGAGATGTCAAAAACATCTTAAATCCTCCAGGATTTATAACAACGGTTATATTAACACAGCCCCCCAAGGGTGACTGGGGAATAGAAGTATGGTCACCATTGGTCTTCCTCCGACCGGTAGTAAAACCCGTGCTAAAGTGGGGCGTCCGTTTGGCTGTGCGGGATGTATAAATTTGCAGCCACGTCCGGTCAGAATGGGGACGTTAAATCCGATGCCTCGTGTCAAGAAAGAGCCACGTTCTTTGCACGTTAAGAACCCTATGAAAATATGTCCTCAGGTATGGAAAACTGTCCATGGGCATAGACATTATTTAATACCATCATTCTGTCCAGGGCCTGAGGGGGACATTTTATCTCAGGATATTGTGTCCACCAGGATAATTTTTGATATGATTAAAGTATTAAATGATGTCCATTGCCTTGTAGACTATACGTTTTCAAACCTACAAGTATAGTTGCGAACCTTAATGCATTGTTACTTTGACAAAGAGTTGTTTCATTGGTACTCTTACCATCCTTATCTTCCTATTTATATTTTTAATATGTACATGTATAGTTATTTAAGTTAAAACATATGGACCAAATTTCATACCGGTAACTGTTAATGTAAAATACTGTCCACTTAGGGGACAACATTTCATTACAATGGACATTATTTAATACCAAAATTCTATATTTTCTATTGCCTTCTTTTCATAATTAATATAGTAAAGTTGTTTTATTCTTTACACACTTTGTTCATTCATTGTCATTAGCATTAACTGGGTATTTCTGGCAACTTAAATGTCTCTACGTTCACTTCCATCTATTATTTGTTTGTTTACATTTGTAAATTAACCTGTTCAATTGTTTAAATTTTATTAAAATTCAAGTATATTTAAACTTGTTAATGACCTTTGTGTAACTATCCTTGGTGGACACAATTTAATAGCAACTTCTATGAAAACTTGTCCTGTATGTGGACACTATTTCATGGTTTTTGGAGTAAAAATCTGTCCACTTAAGCGACAATATTTCATGACAATGGACATTATTAAATACCAAAATTCAATGAAAAACTGTCCAGGTGGACACTATTATGTCTTACACAATCAATTAGAGAAACTGTCATCTGGGCACTCAGCCTAGCTTATTACATAACTGAACTTGCAAGTCATATTAAAATCTCTTCATTTCATCATGAAACAACTGTAGCAATGTATTATATATATCAAAATACGTCCGATATTAGTTTTTTCACCTACCTGCTTTTATAGAACTACATCTTTGGTAAAAAGAGAGATAACCCTTGCCCAAAAAGGAAAATTCAAAGCTACCAAGTGCTAAATGCATGACCAGAACAGACTCTTTGTTTATGTAAACTATTTTGATGAAACTGGCTGCAATGTGTAGTTTAGGAAAATACCTGTCAAATGTGGGTTTCCCTTTTTCTAAAAATAGAATCCTAGAAGCCATATTGACAGATTATAAATTTCAAATATCTTTGTTGTATCAAAAATACCCATCCTGATTTTTTGGTGAAAATAACAAATACATTCCAAATAAGAGTATATTAAAATTTCTGATAAATTGTAAATGATTTGATGGTTAAATTGGTGATCATTTGGTTCAGTTACACCTGTTTAGCTGTAAAAACAAGCTAAAACACAATTGTTTTGATCAAAATTTTGGACATGAGATTGAAATCAGATATCTTTATATGTATATATCATTGTTTGATGTAAAAAATAAAAAGCAATTTAAGGTAAAATACAGAAAAGGCTAAATTGGTAAAAAAGGTGATTTTTTAATGTGACCAAATATTTTAAAAATTCATTGTACACCATTTCCAGCCAACTTTGATGCTTACAGAGAATAGCTCTTAATAACCTTGTTTGTAACAAACAATAGCATGATTGAAATTATGTTCCTTTTGATGCTGACAAGACGACCAAAACTGCCCCGCATCTAAGAATATTCAGAGAAAGTCCTCCCAACATTTATCTGAAGACTACAGAACTCATTTTCATACGAACAAATATTAGAAAAAAATGAACCTTAGTTAATATTTTTGCATCGAGGAGAACATGAACAGATATCACCTTTTAAACTAGAGGCTCCGAGGACCCTGTGTCGCTCACCTGATATTTTTGAAGACAATTGATGCATGAAAAAGTAATAGTTCTTTTAAAGGAAACTTTGTGGATTAAAATCTAATCTTATGATTTAACTGCTTTCTACCAGTTTATTGTTTTAAGTTTTAAAGTCTAAAACACACTTTTCAAGTTATGTGTGTTGTTCTTTCATGGAAATACATTTTTGAGTATTAGTTCTAAATCATTACTGGTAAGGGATCATCAAGGAAACTGTAATTGCTTTTGACATGTTTATTACAAGTTTTTCAATTAGTTGTCACAGCAAAGGTACTGATCATTATGGAGACTGTTAACAGAAATATGTCAATTTTTTTGTATTTTTTTTTAACTGGACCCAAGATTACCATCTTTCATGAGTGGTAACCTGACCTTCAAATTAAGATTCAAAATGCATAGGTAGTACTTGGATCGAACAAGAAGTTAGCCACATAGAACTATGTTTTCGCTAGCTTAGGCAGCAACCATTTGATTTTTTTTTGGGGGGGGGGGGGGGTGGTGGGTCGGGGGGGCTATGGGTTTTTTTCCGGACAAACTTTTTTTTTTGCCTTCGGCGAAAAACAATCTATTTTTTTTTTACGACAAGTCGAAAAAAAAAACTTCTTTCAATTTTTGCATTACATATAGTGGCAGCTGAGGGTGAGGGCACAGAAAGTCAAATGGTTGATGCCTGAAAAAGAGACAACCTTTAAAGTAGTTCTAACATGTGTGAAGCTTCCATTTGCATGTCATTTTTAACGAAATACAAATTTTCCATATAGACATGTATGCAGAATTTGGCAGAACCACGAAATTAAATGTCCACGTATTGGTACCCACGAAAATAAATGAATCCACAGTATTTATAGATGATTTGATAAAGAAAGCCAAGGAAATGCAAGATATAATCATGAAGTTTTTGACAACTCATACAGTCACATCTCCTCTACCATAAGTATCTACCAAAAGTCAATGCTACTTCTATAATTCCTTTCTTGCCACCTACAGAAGATGATTCCATCGCAGAAAATAGCAAGATGCATCCTTTTTCTTGCGTGAAACAGTTGAATTTGTCTTACACAGACAATGAATTAGCTTGTTGCATGGCAGCCTCTTGTGGCGTCGCAGCAGTTTCCTCCCTCTGAGGTGGAGCAAGCACCTCAAGCTCAACTATTGCAGGTTGATCTAGATCCACTTCCTCCACTTTTTCTACTTGAACTTCCTGCTGAGGAGCAGGAACTGAGTTGTCTACCATGGAATCAATCTTAAAGAATTGCCTGTTCCAGGCATGGAAGTGTGCAAGGTTAAGTCCTTGATCCTGAGGGCTGTATTTCTCTGGGATGTCTTGTTGCCATAAACCTCCAGTGCAGAACACAAACAGGGCTGGTGATATTGATTGCAGGTTGAATCCTGAACCAGGAAGAGGTAGAACAACCCATCTCCCTGCATACACTCCTAAACAGGCATTTCTTCCCCAGACTGGAGGTATCCGCTAGGGACTCTGGAATGTTTTCTCAAGAAGCTGAGAATGCCCTGGTAGGTGGCGTCCTCCTTATGTGTCAACCATTGTGCCAGTACCATGTACTCGCTAAAGTCGCAAAATAAGTTGGTTTACAGTAATTCATCGTTTTCAATCCAACGCATAACATCAGGTTATTTTTCATGCCCCATTTTGGGGCATTGTGTTTTTCTGGTCTGTGCGTTCGTTCGTCCGTCTGTCTGTCCCGCTTCAGGTTAAAGTTTTTGGTCGAGGTTGTTTTGATGAAGTTGAAGTCCAATCAAGTTAAAAACTTAGTACACGTGTTTTTTATAATACGATCTTTCTCATTTTGATGCCAAATTGGAGATTTTACCCCATTTTCACGGTCCAATAAACATATAAATGATGGTTCGGATGGGGCATCCGTGTACTATGGACACATTCTTGTTTTTTCAGCATATCGGTTTACTTGGGTTGTATGGCATTTATTAAAATAGTGTTGAAGAGTATTCTTTTAACCTTTGGCATTAAAATATAACGAATACCCAAAGCAGGATATTTGATGTCCCGCATTATGTTTTCCGGTCTATTCGTCCATTCGTCGGGTTAAAAGTTTTTTTTTCGATGTAGTTTTTGATTAAGTTGAAGTCCAATCATCTTTAAACCGCTTAGTACACACGTTGCCTATCATATTGTCGTTCTAATTCAAATGCCACTGAACACTGAAAACGATAGTGTCAATGGGGAATCCGTGTACTATTGATACGTTCTTATTTTTATTGCATTGATGGCACTAAATAAACTTAGCTTTGCAAATGTCATCCATGATTATGTTTTGTACTGTATCCGTAAAACTGTTTCAAGTGTAGTTTTTAATACGTACAGCGAGTAGTTTTCAGTCGGTTGTCCTTCTTCTAAAGATCCTAAATTTTCAATTTTTCGACAATGTCGCGGGTGTAATATTTCAATTTTTTTAACAATTTAGGGTATTTAACTCTCATTTTATTATGTTTGTCATAACTTCTTATGTCTTGTTTATTGGAATTTTTCGATAACCAAACCTTTTAGTAAGCGATGAATGTTTTCAAAACCATATGATAAATTCCGATTTTCATTCATTGATATTTGTTTTGAGGTTGATATCCTTCTCTTTGGCCGTATCGACTTCACATAAAGGCTTTAATTGTAGAATTTATAAATATCTATTACACTTACAAATTATATTTATTGAAATTACCATATTTTTAACATTAATACCGCTTGCTGTTCGGTGTGAACCAAGGCTCTTTGTGTTGAAGACCTTAATCGATTCACTGTTGCAAAATATGACTTGGATGGAGACTTGTCTCATTAGCTCTCATACAACATCTATATACTATCTTGAAACAAATTATCTATTGCCCCAATTTCTCTGCCATCATTATCAATAATGAAAGCTTTTAAAATCTTCAATTTGGACGAAGAAAAGTTGAATGAAGGATGGACTAGAGGAGAATTGGAGGTTTCAGCTGGTTGGAACAATTGGGACAGTATTCTAATGTTACGTTTGCTTTTCTCACTTTCTTGATGAAAACAATCCAGAAACAACGGAAATCAAACACTGAAAATAATGCATCTGGGTTGTCCACAGATGATATATAATATGTCTCTTGTAACAGAATTTCCATTTATGATTAATTGATTGATTGTTGGTTGATTTACGCCGCATTAGCACAACAAGGCTATATCGCGGCGAGAGCTAATTCGAATATTTTTTTACAATTTAAAGCATATTCTTAAAATCAGACAAAAGGTCCTTCAATAAACTAAAATTCTAGATTAAAGCAAATTGATTATTTACAAATAAAAATGAACAGTAAGATAACGTGATAAAATTTAAAATCGTTTTAAATATAATAACATTTTTATATTTTATAATATATTCCAACTTCTTTTAAGAATGAAACAATATTTGTAAATGGAATATTATAAAAATAAATCATACATATTATTGACATCGAAATGCTTCCTACGAATATCAGCAAAGTCAATACAATTAATTAAAACATGTTTAATAGTATACTTGCAGTTACAAGGTATACATTGTGGTTTTACTTCATTTTTTAAAAGATATTCGTGTGTTATTCTAGTATGACCAATACGACATCTAGAAATAACACACTGATCTTTTCTGCACATACAATTATTGAAAGGTTTACCTAAATTAGGTTTAATTGCATGTAATTTATTATCATCTTTTTTACTCCATTCATTTTTCAATATATTAAAAACATATTCTCTAATATTAGATTTAAAATCGGTATATGGTATACCACAGTTAGATAAAGGGTCACCCAGGGCATTCTTTGCCTCAAGGTCTACAGCTGTGTTTCCAAGGATTCCAACATGACTCGGCACCTATAGAAATATTATTTCTTTAAGAAGAATTTTAAATTCCTCATTACATATAAAATTTTGAGAATTGTTGGGTTTTTAATTTTAGTATTTTGTATAGCTTGTAAGCTTGAAAGTGAATCAGAACATATAATAAATTTGGATTTATCTGAAGAAGCAATAAATTTCAAAGCCAAAATTATTGCTTCTGCTTCAGCAGTAAAGATGGATGCATCATATGGCAAACGGAGAGTTGCAGCTCTGTCCCTGACGACAGCAGCAGATGCAACTCGGTCACCATCTTTTGATCCATCAGTATAAACAGTTGAAAAATCTGAATAATTGGCTTTAATTTCAGCAAAGTGTTGCTGAATTAAGAGAGGATTTGTTTTATTTTTATTGTGTTCACGGAGATCAAATATCATTTTTGGTTTGAGAAGTTCCCATGGAGGACATTTGCAAGTTTCAACTTGAGCAACAGATTTTAAATCAAAAGAAGCTAAATGTTGTTTTAAACGTATACCTCACGGAGGAATTTTATTTTCATGTTTTGCAAAAATATCTTCATAAATTGGATTAAAAACACAGCTGTAGGCAGGATTATCTGAATAGGCTTTTAGTTTGACAAGTCCAAGCTTCAAACGTCTGTTAGAGAAAGAGTGCTCATCAGCCTCTATATACAGACTCTCAACTGGTGGGGTTTTAAATGCGCAAAGACAGAGACGCAAACCCTGGTGATGCACAGCATCGAGAATCTGTATGTAGGACTTCCTTGCAGAGCCATACACTATAGAGCCATTTATGAGCTTTATTATTTATTGGTATGGTCGGTGAGGTAAATAATGTCGACACCACTGAATGTATGTTTCAGTTGAGCATTAATTATCTGAGCATTTGTAAATTTTGTCATACGGATTCCCGCTGGAATGAGTTGATGTATTTGAGTAGTGGCTATTATTAAGCTACGGATTTCGTTACCATAAATTACATAAAACCTTTACTAAATATTTCCATAAATATAAAGATTTGGTTTTGAAGTTTGGTTGTACCTGTAGAACATTTATTTCAAACGGGATAGCACATTTTCATTTTAACGTTTTTACCTTGTTTATGATATTGGTTGCATATTTTGCAGAATATAATTTAATAGACTTACATGTCAATAGTTACAGAGTTCATAAATTCATTTGCAAAAACTATATCGCAAGCCAACATAAAGTAGGGCGCTGTAAAGACATCTTTGTTATATTATTCAAACTCATGACAACATTTATAGGTACTAGTCTTGTACACTGTATTGCATTTCTAGCGTTTCATATGATGCATTATTCCAACGACAGCTTCTGTGTATGTTACATTTTAATGTTGTGTTTCTGTTGTGTCGTAGTTCTCTTATATTTGATGAGTTTCCCTCAGTTTTAGTTTTTAACCCCGATTTGTTTTTTTCACTATAGTTTTTTGAATTTCGAACAGCGGTATACTACTGTTGCCTTTATTGAACACATTTCTGTATACTATACTAGGTTTCTGCGAACAACTTTTCAGGGCCTGCAACATGTTTTAGTTGGAGGAATGATGATTACAATTCCTACGTCAAATATGCCATTCTTAATGTACTAGGCTACTTCATTCTCTATGGTATCATTATTCATTGTTGAAGGATTGTCGCCAAATCTAGGTAGAAATATTGGTAACGGCGCTCAAACATCGAGCCAACAAAGTCATAATACCGTTTAAAAGCCTGAAGACAAGAGGGAGATGACTTTATTCATCCACAGAGAACAAGTGTTATGAAGTTAATCTTAGTGAGACCTTTGATCAAGTAACATCAAGTATATTGCAAAATGTTAATTTCTTTTAATTTTTTGTTCAACTTTCATTGAAAGACCAATATAGTTTAACACCGTCTTCAAACCAAATCTTGATGTTTATGGACTGGGCAATGAAATACTTTCGTGTCAATGATTGAGAGAGTCAGAGTGAATGGTTTGGCAAGAAAGGATAAAACTGGCATGTGACAGATGTTTGTCAAAAGTAATCCGAAACAGATATGTTGATTTATTGCTATTTTTACAAATTTGATTCACTTATACTAAATTGGTACTCTGTTGCAATTGCAAATGAGACAAGTCTCCACAATAGACTAAAACGACACAGAAATCAATTCTAGAAAATGTTTTTACTATTGTAAAGGAGAAAGAAGACACTATTAATGAAGCATATATATATTACTTTACTATTCACTTTAATGGTGAGATGTGGATAAACACCTGTGCCATCACAAAGATAACAGATATAAACGAGTATGGTGAAGTTGTTATTCCTTGCTTCCAAATGAACATATCCAAATTGGTCAAATAACTGTCACAAAATCAACAAAATGCAGTAATCAAAAAGGCATGAAGGCAATCGAAATAACCAATGCTGACCCGACGGTCAAATGTGATACCTGCAAAATGAAGCAGATTACAAAACCTTATTTAAAACAATCCATATAAAAAGATGT